CCCGCCCCCCCCCATCAGCGCAGCACCCGAGTGCTGCACCCGCACGACTCCCGCTATTTACTAGAGCAACGTTGGCTTTTTTCCATATTCCGTTCCTAGCTGCCGGAAAATGGATATTTCTTGTATTCGATAGTATTCGCAAATCAATCACAGAATGTTGTCGCGTTTAATCTTATAAACAAGCGTTTCGGTGGCTTTTCTAGGGAGTGCAGTTTTCCGAATTCCGCACCTAACTGCTAGAAAATGGATGTTTCCGGCATTTGATAATTATCGAGTACCAATCACGCCAGTTTGTCGCATTTATTGTACTTACAAGCGTTACGCGAGTTTTTTTTTTTAATTCCGATCGAACGTTCCAGATAATGGATGTCCCCGCATCCGGTAATCGAGTCCCAATCACGCCAGGTTGGCGCATTAGCTCTTCTTATTAGCGCTAGGCGGACTTTTTCCCATATTCCGCTCCTAACTGTCAGAAAATGTATGTTTCTTAAAACCGATATAATTTTCGAGAACCAATGGTCGTTTGGAGCAGATTCAACTGTTGCGTATCGGATCCGTGAGCTTTCGCTGTTATTGGATGATCTAGAAGTATACACCAATAGGTGCCAAGGCTCACGAATCTGCTCCACTACAGTTGATTCTGCTGAACGAGACTAATCACGTCAGGTTGTCGCGTTTGGTCTTCTTTCAAGCTTTACATGACCTTTTCTGAATTCCTCTCCTAATGCTCGATTCACGCAACATCCGATGTGCGTCTTACAACGCTCTGCAATCAATCAGAAAACAGGATGGATTTTGTTTCATATCATCGGAATCCTGTTTTCTGATTGGTTTCAGAGCGTCGTACGACACACATCGGATGCAGAGTGAATCCAGCATAACGGCCAGAAAATTGATGTTTCCGGTATCCGATTTAATTTTTGTGAATTCATCACGTCAGTTTTTCGCGTTTGTCCTTCTTGCAATCGCTCCTCAGCTTTCCTCCGAATTCTGCTCCTAACTCACAAAAAAAAAATTTATATTTACGGTATCCGATATAATTTTCAATAACTATTTACATCAGGTTTTCGCGTTTGATCTTCTTCTGCTGGATTCACACTGCATCTGATTTCCATCGTACGACGCTCTTCAACCATCAGAAAACAGAATTCCGATGATACGATGCAAGATCCATCTGAATCCTGTTTCCTGATTGGTTGCAGGGCGTCGTATGACACAAATCGAATGCACTGTGAATCCAGCATTACGAGCTCTACATTGGCTTTTTTCCTAATTCTGCTCCTAATAAACAGAAAATGGATGTATCCGGTATTTAATGTAATTTTGAAGTACCAATCACTTCAGATTGTCGCGTTTGCTCTTCTTAGGAGCGCTACGTTGGCTTTTTTCCATATTCCTCTCCTAACTGCCAGAAAATGGAATTTCCAGTATCTGATAAAATTTTCGAAGACCAATCACGTCATGTTTTATGGTTTCTTCTTTTTATAAGCGCTACGTAGGCTTTTTTCTGATTTCCGCTTCAAGCTGCCAAAAAAAAAAAAATGGATATTTCTGGTTTCCGATAACGATTTGTTGCTCGGTGGAAATTATATATCTATTACTTCCGAGCAAACAAGACGTTGATTGGCTCTCGCGTCTACTTCCGCCGCACGGCAAGTCCTGCCGCGTTCTGTGTGCAATAACCATACATAGACAACAGAGTGGCTTTGTTTCGTCGTCTTAATTCCGCGAGTTCCGTTCCGTTGCCAATTTCCTCTCTATGGGACGACACCCTGATGCTGGATTCACACTGCTTCCGATTTGTGTTTTACGACGCTTTGCAACCAATCAGAAAACAGGATTCCGACGGATTTTGCTTTGTATCATCGGAATTCTGTTTTCTGATTGGTTGCAGAGCATCGTAAGACGCAAATCGGATGCAGTGTGAATCCATCAAAACAAATCGAAGAACGCTTATGCTGTATTCATACTGCATCCGGTTTGCATCGTACAACGCTTTGCAATCAGAAAACAGGATTCCGATGATACGAAGCAAAATCCATCGAAATCAGATGTTTTCTGATTGGTTGCAGAGCGTCGGACGACGCACATCGGATGCAGTGTGAATCCAGCAACAGGCTTGTAGAAGGATCCGTTCAAAGTGAACGAAATATCTCTGAACGGTACATTTCTAGTTTCGTTCATTTTTTCCGTGGCGTTTCGAATCTTTCGGTCAGTAAAAGGATCCGTTCAAAGTGAACGACGTATCTCTGTATAGAAGTATTACGTATATGGGTGAATTAAAAATTACCAAATAACAATTTGTTTTAAGTACAGTCCTGTTGTATGTATTATACTAAAGATTATATCACTTATATATGCTCGGTGGTAATAAGTTATAACAATTAAATGTATAAAAATTGAGTGTTGCTAAAAGTTTATTGTTGTACATAACCTAAGCGTAATGTCTTGTCAAATTAAAGGAATAGCAAATATATCAGACGTTGTTAGTGTTAAAAAATTGCTTTATGGCGAAGACATTAGCAAATGTGAGTTTTTCTTCACTGATACGTTAATTCATATTAAATATCATACGCATTCTCAGTTACTAATACGTTTTTTTTCAGTCGAGTACATTCCGAGCAATGAATTGCCTCTGCATAACTGTATTATATCAATGTCATCAGTTGGAGATGTACTTACGATAGCTTGGAACACAAAAATGATCATATTTGCTTGTAGGTACAAATCGTATATAGTATCGTTTATGTGGTTTCGCACATATGTATAATTTTTTTGGCCAGTAACAGACGTTTACAAAATTTGATTACATGTTAATGAAGAATCCCAATATGTTTACATACGTATATATCCTTGTGAGCGCAACGTGAATAAAATTTCAATTGTATTCTTTCATGTTTATAGCAAGGTGGGAATCTCAAGAATTAGATGAGATAAAAAATAAATTTCATATAACGTGGCATGGAGAAGTAACGAAAGCAGCAAAGTATGTAATATTTATTAATATTTATATGATAATAATATGGTTGTAATAAGGAATTTATTTCAGTGAATGGATAACCTCTGCGATCTGCTTACCTTTAATATCCATGGGAAAAGCCTCTGGTCCAGATTGGACCTGTATAGCTGTTGGTTATAATACAGGCTTTGTTAGATTTTATACGGAAGTAAAGAGAGTATTAATTTCTTTTACTATTGTATTATTTCATCTTATTGATTTCTTGTAATATATTTCGTTTTTTCATTAGACAGGTGCTTTACTCTTAGAAGAGCAAATCCATAATGAATCGGTTCTAGGGATAAAGTGTCAGTCATTTTGCTTATCCAAACACGCTGGGGATGCTGGCTCTAGTGAAGAAGTTTATATTTTATATAACAGTGGAGTTTGCATTTTACAAGGGTTTCCATTATTTTCTACTTTACGTGCTTGTAGAAACCATTTGGCTAAAGGTACATCATTGTTCGTTACACGTGTATTTTCTCTCGTTTTAAGCTTGAGTTTTATCATTCTTTCTTCATACAGTCCAAGCGAATTGTAATGATTTACCGCCAGTTACAAATTTATCGTATAAAAAATGGGCGTTCAAAAATCAAGATATTGCAAACGATTTAGAAGTAATTGGTACAACGTCGATAAATAGCTTTGATCATTTAATGACAGCTTCGATATGCGGTGGATATAATGCAACGTATAGATCTAGTGCGCCGCAACACAATTTAGTTCTTGCGACAGGAAAACGACCGTTTGTAGGATTCCACTATGCACTGGAAGGTGGTAATGCCCCAGTCTTGTCGGATGTTGCTATCGCTATGGCTAGCAAACTAGCTAACGCTATTGGTACTGCTGTGCCGTAAGTGCTTTTCTTTTCTTATCTTGTATAATAATTTCCCCAAGCCAAGTCCCAAGAATTAATTTATTGAATTGATAAATTGATATTTTTATCAGATGGTTTCGTGGAAATTCCAAGAATGCAACGTCCGAAGTATCAAAAAGTATTAGCCACGAATCGGTAGAAACGATGACGTGTCGATTTGGTTTAAGTGATATTATGAGAGAAGGTGATTGCATTGTTTGTAGTCCAAACAAAATGTTCTCGGTAATATCAGATGCTATGGGCAGAGTGATTCTGATAAATAATAAAAAGGGTATAGCTTTGAGAATGTGGAAAGGATATCGCGATGCTCAGTGCGGTTGGATCGAAGTTACCGAAGAGAGAGATCGTGCGATACGTAGGAACGTTGATAAATCTGGACGTAAAGCTTTATTGCGCACCGCTCTGTTTTTAGTTATTTACGCACCAAAGAAGGGCGTGATAGATATTTGGAGTATACAGCAAGGTCCAAAAATCACTACTTTTACTGCCAGCAAAAATGGACGGCAAGTTGTATCTATCGCATCTCCTCTCCTCTGCTTTCAATTTCTTCCCTTTCATTCTGTCTTACATGTACATGTCGTATAAAATCATTTGGCTGATATACTTTGCAGGTTATTGTACATTAATTATGGTTTTCTGGGGGCAAACGACAATGCCGTTTTATCGAAGAATAAAGCGCAATATTCCTGTGTATTTATTGATCCACTTGGAGGATTGAAGGAAATTTGTGTTCCATTTCACTTTGCGCTCAATAGTAAAAACGGAAAACGAGCACGCGACATACATCTACTTAGGAAACTGAGAACGTTTCTGAGGGAAGAAGATTTCAATGAGGAGAAATTGATTTCCGTAGTTACTAATACTTGTTTGGGTTTAGAAACGAATGAAGTTCGAATACAGACGATAGAAGTTTTAATGAATAGCAAGCATATTTTACCAGACACTTTGCTCGCTGCGACGAATTGTTTTGTAGTAAAACGAGGTACTTGTATGCAGAATCCACATTGTAAAATGTGCTGCTCAGATATGTAAATAAATTATACGAATTATGTTTTGTTGATACTTTACAGAAATAGAAGGAAAAGAGGAAGAAAAAGAAGAAGAAGAAGAATTGGAACCTCCCGCTAAGATGCTTCGTCAATTGACAACGCAGTTACAACAAATAATTACATTTTATAAATATGTCGAGTCTCAACTCGATGTACCACCTGAGTACGATATTACGACTGATAATGCAATAAGTACTAAAAGTTTATCTTCAATATTATTAACCTCGGAACGAGAAATAAACCGTGTTGTCAAATTGGCTAAAATGCTAAACAGCTTCTTAGACGGTAACGTTTCGGCAGAAACTAAGGTCAAATTTAAGAATGAAAGTGCGTTCTTTGACTTTCTATCGTGCTTCGAACTGGGCGCATCGAGAATGATTGGATTACGAAAAGATGTAAAGGAGGAGAATATACACGAAATTTGTAAGTTGTAATAGTGTCGTAAATATGCTGTTATCAGTTGTAGGATTGTATCGTATATTTTTATTTTATAAAATGTGATCTTTAACGCATCTTTTAGCACGTTTAATGTATCAGGGACTCATGTATTCTGATGATATGAAAAAGAAATGGCAACAAGCGGCTAAAGACAGTAACATTCAACCATTTATTTTCATGCGATTGGCATTGATATATTGGTCGCACAAGGAAGAAACTACATTTTCAGAAATTGAGTTAAAACACTTTACACAGCTGCTGCACGTCATTTGTTTCTTAACCGGTAAATTTTGTGTCCATTGGCTTTATGCTTAAAAAAAAAAAATATTACATATCCATAGCGCAAATGGAATTTAATTGACTGAAATCAATCGACAGATGTGGAAGAAATATGTGTTGAATATAACCAAGTTTCCTCATGGTGGAAAAATGTACGCACTATTCTGACAGAATCTACGAAACCTTTCAATGCGTTTACTGCTGCGTTAGCCTGTAGGGCGACTGCTATGACTCTGGAGAAGTACAAAGAGAAATTGCAAAATGAGAAGCGATTGGGGAATAATGGAAACGAAGAGGAAGACATTAAAAATGGGAATAATGTAATTAAAACAGACGAAATGCAGAATAAATCGTATGATGTCACACCGGATGATGAGACGTACAGTTCAATTAGTGAGTGGGAAAATGTCAGTAATGATACCTGTCAATTTGCATTACTGATTGGGAACCTTGAGGATATTGCCGTTTTGAATGCCGTTATTAGGTACGTTATTATCGCTAATTATTGGAAAGTGCATAAATAAGTATTGTAATTTTTGGCTACCATAGTAACGAACGTTAATCTAACTCTAGCCGACGAGTTGTATCGGATGAAACAACACGATTCTTTGTTCTACCATTTACGAAAAACGACACTTGTTTAGCATCGATCCTCTCCGGAGGAAGAGGTACATTAAAACTCTAGTATAATTAGTAGTATTCCGTGTATTTGGTATTGATGATCCTCACCCGATTGAATCAGGTTCAGTGTCTGAACTGGTTGCGAAATGGCTGGGCACAACGGGTATCGATCCAGCGCGATTAATCGACACGACGGATGTAGAGTTCGATCAGTTACAATTGTCTGTAGATTCCTTACAACAATTCACCGATACGAATGAAGCGACTACTGTCCAAGTATCTGAACAGGAACGATCGAAACTTGTTTCTTTATCGATAGAGATTGGGGATGAAGCAAAAATTAATACGACTACGGAAGCGTGCATTTTAGGCAAGAGAAAAAGGCATATTTTAAAAACACGATACTCCCTAACTTTTGTCGTAATTTAAATCTGTCGTATTTCTGCTGCAGACAGTATGGCCCTACTCAAACGTCATTTCCCATTCAGTTTAACGAGCAGCGTTTTATTGGCCAATTTCTGCTGGGAGTTTGCCATGTCGTGGGACAAAGATGTTACTCAACTAGATTCGCTCGCAGCCGCTTTAACTGTTTTACGACAAATACCTATGAAGAATATGAGACACGGTAAACACACTTTTGTATCGTTTTTTTTTCTTTTTCTTTTTCAGCAAACTGCTCTAAAATGGCAATATCTATGTAAATTTTTACTGCATGTGCGTATATTTTTACTCGTTTATTCGACAGGTGTCTGCTGTCTGTTATGGGTGCTTCACATAAAGAAAAGAATGGAAATGGCGGCAAAATTAATGAATAAACTTGGAAAGTTGCCAAAGGAGAGATTATGTATGCAAGACATTGGTTTATCTGACGTTCAAGTAACGACGTTTTTACAGCACTGCGTTACTTTCTTGGATATATTTATCGATGTACGTAGAGTACGGAAAAATTTGTAAATTATTTATTACGTAATGAATGTGCGGTGCGGTGGGGAGGGGCAACTTACGCGTTGCGGCGTCGTAAGTTGTATTAATTTTAACTTTAAGGCTCCTCTGAATCTTCTAATCACTACACGAAAAGTGATAATTTACGATTATTTACTGACTGTCACGGTGGATAAGCATAGTTTTCGTCCATTTTTACAAATGTTTTAAAGCAATTTCATCATTTTGTTTTATTCAAATTGTCTTTATTTATAAATGGCGTAATAAAAGTTAACGTGTCATTTCTTGCTTCACGATTCAATATGGCTGTGATGATTACTCGGGAGCCTTAATGTACAAATTGACTTATGTTGCTACGTAGGCTGAGATACTTGAACAAGGAGATAAAGTAGTAATAAAGTCGGAAGAATTATGGGACGGACACTTCGGTGGGCCACAGCCGTTTGCTACACTAGCTGTCTCCCAAACTCCAGCTTGGTACGACTTGATTTTGCTACACGTACAAGTGGCTAATGTTCTATACATGATGGCATATCTGAACTTGAAAATACTGAAACCATTAAATAACTTGTTCGAATCCGTGGTAAGCCTATAGCAAGATTTGTTAATTAATTTGTGTTCTACATTTGTATTCAACATTTGTTCGTTACTCGCTCAGGTACAGCCTTACCTCTTTCAAGACATAACGGACAAAGCAATTCTCACGTGGTACCGAGATGACAAGAGGGATAATATACGTACAGAATTTTTATGTAGAGTAATTACAGCATCGATGGAATTTATTCATCGCGAGACTACGGACGGTGTGACGGTTAGTTCGACACAGGCTGTCTTGTGGATGAGTAAATGTCAAATGTTAGCGTCTATTTGGAAAATTAATAATGACGAATTGAGAATACATCAAGCCTGTCAGCTGTACATAAATGGTTTCGATCGTTTAGCAGAAGAGGTGAATATATAATAACAAATTCATTTATTATTCGCTTTTGTACGCTTGCGTACCATTTACACGCACACACGCACGCACGCACGCACGCACACGCACCACACACACACACACACAAAATACAGATGTTTACAATTATGCTACATATATACTACATAAAACATCTATTCTCTAATTACATCTATTCACAATATGTGTGTGTGTGTGTGTGTGTGTGTGTGTGTATATATATGTTATTAGGTAACTACAACGGTAACAGATATTGAACGCCTGGCTGCAAACTTATTACCTATAGCTGGAAGAAGAATGATGGCGTATCTCTCAAAAACACCTAATCTTTTGGAAGAAATGTCACGATTGAGTCCAGCGCTTACAAGATACTTGGAAAGCCTGGTAAGTGCTGCAATGGAAATCTATTATAATTGTCGAATATTTTCGACTTTGCTAACTGTTCAAGTTTTTTTTTCCAGAACGTCCCTGAAATAGTCTATACAAATTGTTCGAATGTCGACACTGTGGAATTAATTCGACGAATATCAGTGCATTTGCCTAAAACTCACTGTGATTATCACATTATATTGTTAATGTTAGACGCAACATTTATTTATGAAGACAACTAACTTTGGATTTTGTCAACTATATCCTGTGATACTAGGCAGTAGAAAACTGTGTGCATGAAAATAGAAGAATCTTATCAAGCTGTGTACAACTTGTGTATATTGATACAACGAAACGAAAATAGACTTGAAATCATTGTCTTTTATCAATGGAAAGACAATAAACGTTTATACGTAATGATATAAAAGGTAGTGGTAAGCTGCAAAGTCGTAAAAGTAAACACAAAGTATTACGTACTTTTCAGTGTATATTACAGACAATTTAATTGTAAATGGAATTTTGAGCGCAATTTCGATACAATTCGATGTTTATAAGCTGCACTCTGTTTCAAGGAGAGCGATTGCATATCTGTATGTACATATAATATTATACTTTATGTTGGCATGCTATTATACTATATCATGGAACATTAACACGTTCCGTGCCGCACGACCCGCGCTGGATTTTTCATTCAAGCCACTTGAGAGATATCTTGACTATAAAAAAATGTGAAATAATTTTGTATATCATTTTACATGATATATATATAGGTATATATATATATATATATTATGATATGATGCAATATTGATATGATACATAATTAGACCTTCTTTATAAAATTTTTGCCATTTTTTTAACAATTATGAAATATATGTTATTTAAGAAATATAACAAATGCAAACAAAAATACTAGTGATCCACACGGCATGATAGTCAAATCATTTAAAAATAGCGCGATACAGAAAGTGTTAATTAACCTCGTTCGTAATGCACATATAATATATATCTAGCGCTTTACGTTTCTATTGTACATATACACGCGTGCGCGCACATATAGTATATGTGTATAAATTTTTAAGAATCTACATTGAGTTGTCATTGAATTTAAATTATAAATGTTCTAATTAACATTGTAATTATCGAATGTAACATTTATCTCGACTATGTATCCTTATAAATAATCATGTTTTGAAAATTTTTGTAAGAGATGTATAATTTGTTAAAAATACATAAAAAAATACTATGTTTCAACCGAATCGTACGTAAAGTGTCAAATAAAATATTTTGTACAATTATCGCACAACTGTTCCAGATGTTATGGAATTTTTTAGCACAATGGTATACCACGTGCAAATCAAATTAGTGTGCATTAATATTAGAATTTAAACATACATGTTCAACTATGCGATATATTCTTAGAAACGAATCATGAAACCTTGATATTGCTGCTTTGTAACAGTTTCCCAATTTGTAAATTCGCAGTGATGTATCTCACTGCCTGGACTGCCCACTGATGTCAACCACTGTGCCCTGGGAATAAGATTTATTATTTTACACGTTATATTAAAGATATATTGTAAATGCTTTTTTGCTGATAAATAGCAAAATTGTCTTTTTTTTTTTTTTTTTTTTTTTTGAGTGTGAAATAGACGTGTGCTTTTGTATAGAGTATAAATATAAGCAGCAGATATATAAGTATATCTGTAGCTAAACTAGTGCATACATTTGGAACTTGAAATGAAACAGATATATCTATATTTAATATTTGGCGCAAGCGAAAAAGAACGTTTGAATACTGCAGTCTAGTGTAGGAATAAAAAAATATGTACGATTGACAGGCGAAAAATTGAATTATGATTGATTTCAAGTTTAAGAAGGCCATGCAAATGTTTGGTGTGTTGCCAAATGCGTCATTGACATAGTTATTTGTCGTTACCGAACAACGCGGCTGACAAATGCGCGTTCTGTATATGAATGCTTCACACGCTCAGAAATTATAATTAGCGACTAATCGGACCGAGTGCAAATATTTTTATGCAAAGCTGTCGAAGTGAACTCTTAGTAACTTTGGTTGATATATTACAAAGAGAAGAGGAGGAATCTGTGAGATGGCTGTTACCTTAATGACAATTGTCTCTCATTGTTGTCTGTATAGTGTTAAATTCTTTATTAATATCATATTATATACGCTGCGACTTGACTAGCACCGAGTGTAAACATTTTTTGAATAATAATTTTAACGTATAAGCAACTGCAGTTTACGTGATTACGATCGAAGAAATGAATCAGCATTTAATTCCTGATTCGATCTGACTCACATTTCACGAGTTATTTAATTTTTCTTCTTAGTGTAATTCAACAAGCGTTTCCTCATTTCTTTTTTTTTTTTAAGTCTTCTTCCAAGAGAGGAAATGCATTCTATTCTGCTCTCTTGCAGAATCATAACACATATACGCGCGCACGTGTATTTGTTATTTACAATAAACTTGAGGCTCGATTAGCTAGTTTCCATTATCTCGGGATTTTTTTAGGAATCTTGAAACTATTACTATCTTGTGTAAGAGAGAGATAGCGTACTCTCTGTATTCTTCCAACGTCGACGGCCGTGCCACGCCGATGCATAGATCGAGATGTGGCAATCGTCGACGAAGGAAAGAGATATATGATACACGTCGCAGCGTCATTATTTCATTAAATCATTATTAAAGTCAGTTTTCGACATATCGCTTCATATCGCTTGTCATATGGCAATTGTTAGTCAAGGCCACGTACGATTAAGGAGCCGCGCTCACCATATAAAGCCCATTCTACATAAGACGCAGAACATTGGTCGCAGGTCGCAAAACTAGAAACTAACTTAACGTATTTTAATTATGATATGATTGTAGGATGCAGAACGCAGGACGCAGAAAGTTGGGTGAACTTCAAAACTTTCTGCGTCCTGCGTTCTGCATCCTACAATCATATTATAATTAAAATACGTTAAGTTAGTTTCTAGTTTTGCGACCTGTGACTCGTGTTCTGCGTTTATGTAGAATGGGCTTAACGCAAATGTCGTCGTCGTCGTCGTCGTTGTCGTCGTATACATATAAGTAACGTAATAAATAAACTGATGGCTCTTTTCTCTAACTATTAAATATAGTTTTTTCACTATTTCAGCTCGACAAAGTGGACAGATTTCATTTCACAAGACTTACATCTGATCGACAAGCGCTCGAGGTCCTTGCATCTTTCCAAGGATCGTGCCAGTTTTACTATTTTTCACCCAACCACAGATTTTCAATTGCAAGCATATATCCCTCACGTACTTTGGAAAATATACACCTGCAATTTCAATGAAGAATCTTTCATCTTAAGATAATTAAGTTATCAAGATTGTGTGTTTTATGTATACATATAAAGTTACGTGTGTCACGAATGGAAAGAAAAAAAATAATGGAATGCTACATTTCACGATTTGACCGAATTCGACGTCAATTGTGATAAAATTGGACCATCGCGTGCGTATGTATTATAGGGGAATATGTGCAGAGATCGAGAAGCGATCATTTAAAAAGTGTAAAAGTATACTAGGTATATTCACATCTATCTATCTAGCTATTTGTATACGTGAAAGATCGGAATCGCGTGTTCGGTGTTTTGCAGTATAATTTGCTACAGGGGATATATTAATTAAACAACGATGAAACGATGCACTTGAGTGTAAACTGCAAATCTAAAACTAATTTGAATATCAATTTGTCATGGCAATAAAGTAGTAAGCGAGACTGCGTGATGATACAGTATCATATCCTGACGGGCGGCGCATCCTAGTGAAGGATAAGGTATTCGACAGTACTTATTCACCCTGCACTTTTCCAAAAACTTCAAACTCGACGGATACTAAAGGTTCCCGGCAGAGGGGATCATCCGCCGCCTGCATCCCGTTCGAGATTGAATGAGAAAATTCGCAAAATTCGCGTCGATATTCTAGTGCCGAAAGTGAACAGAATGCGCACAAAGAGCTGGTATACACTGCAGCTGGGTTAATCCGCGGTCACACCAGGTCACAGGTACGTTGAACAGATTCTGCTCAATCAGACACTCGTTCTCGTTCTAAAGTGGATGCTTCACCTTTTTAGCTTCACGGCTCACCTTGCTAATAGCTAACTGATTCTTATTGCGCGCCGCCGCAATAAGTCTCCAAATAGATTTCTCGAATCTCTTCACCCCACTACTGACATTGATCCAAACTCGATCGATCCTTTTGCTGCACAGACTGATCTATTCTTATATTAATCGAACGAAAAAAAAATGGACCTATTGCTCTATATTCAATACGCGACTTTGTCGTGTATGTCGCGAAAACAATTATATATAAGTACTTAAAAAGTATAAATTTAAGAAAGTTGCGTACACTCGTTGTATATATGTTGTATATATGTATATAACTATATGTAGATATATATATATATATATATCATCGAGTAATCGTATAGCGTTATACTCGAGAACTCTTCTCTACTATTTAAAATTTTACTATTTAAAAGTAACAAGTTACGCAATTACTCGTTATTGAGTAGAAAAAGTAACAATTAGTTACCGTTACTAATTATACCAATTTTAAAAAGTAATTCATTATAGAGTTACCGTTACTTGAGGAAATAATTTTTCCATTACTTTTTTAAAATCGATGACCACACACCAATCACATCGGACGGATACCTAGAGGCTTTCTAATCTCAAGCGCTACGAGTGGTTAATTGTGTCCAATCGTGTGCAAAGTAACGATCAAAGTAACTGTAAAATTCGTTATCGGCGTTACCAAAAAAATGCAACTACGTTACCGTTACAGTTACCAAAAAAAGAAGAGTAACGCAGTTACTAGTAAAGTTACCAAAAAAATAACTTGTAACTGTAACTTCGTTACAAGTAACGATTCGAGTTACTTCCGTGTTCCAATCCCTGCATATGTTATACGTGTGTATATATGTATAATAGATAGTAATGAAATAATTGTTACTATGCAGTGTAAGTTGAAACATAAATATAAAACAGCTGAACGAATACAGCATAGCATCTGCTCTTTTTCCTCTTCAGGCGAGGGAGTTGCAGATTCATTGTGGAAACATTAAATATAGGCCAGGGGGGCAAGCATTTATCGTCGAACTAAGCACTTCCCATCGTGACTGCCGCCTATTGTCCCGTCATTACATCCCACACACGGCTAATTAGTTATTAGTACGCTATGACGTAGTAATTGCCGAGCACAAGAGTAAAAAGTACGGGGTGTACAGGATACGAGGGAAGTTACATATTCTACTTATAACGATCTTGTTCAATCTATCGCCGTTGTTATTCAAGGTCTCGCTCGATGCAAAATTCAGTGATACGATATGACTTGATGAAATTATTGCCGATAAGAGCTAAATCTAGCTCGTCGATCTTTTTCGACAAATTATATACCTATATATAGTTTACTAGTATAGCGAAGCAAGTATTGGAACAGGATTGCCAGCTGCTCGTCTTAATTTAAAATTACTAGTATTTACTACATATTACGAAGTAATTACAAAGACCTGATCTCATGAAAAAAATCGTCATTCACTGAAATAATTTTCTTTTTTCATATCGTTGTATATAATATATACTTGTTAAATTACAACATACACATTATATATTATCAAATCGAAATTATAATTAAAATTCTAGCTTGTAAAAAGCATACATGTATAATGTATATATATTTCCCTGTTTATTTCAATCTTTTTATATTTACTCATTCTCCTTCCAAGAATTAACTAAATACATTTATTTCTTACGTACGGAGAATATAAATATAACTAATAATTGTAAATCAAATACAGACTTTGTAATACCAAGTAGCTATTATATACAGTTGCATTCGAAAAAATGGATAAATGAGTAGTGAATGCATATGTGGGTATCTATTGTTAATATTATATTTATTCGATAAGTCCCTCTTTCTTCCCCCGCCCTTTCTCCATCCTGTTCCTATTTATCTCTATATATTATATATTATAATGCACTATACTTATACGTATATATTATATAGAATGCACACACATATATACATATGTATATATGTGTATAAATGTATAAATGTAGATTCAACTTTACGTTAAACATTCGTGCGTATTTTTAAATAAATATATAAATTTCTCTTTTATTGATACGCACGCGCGCGTGTGTGTATCACTATCAAATATGTACGTATGTGTGGTACGCATTAAGCTAGATATAATCAATTACATTATATATATATATATATATATATATATCGTACATTACTGCAGTTCTATACATTGCAAAACTTGCAACAATGTTCTGTGATCTCTATGATGGTCATCATACAGAGTACCGCAAACATATTGTTCACTTCGTACGTTCGTTCACAGCCATACGTCGCTTCTTCCCGACAGTACTTTCTCTTTGCTCCGTGTATTATCGAAAATGTTTTTTTATAATGATCCATGGATTAATCACATGAATCGCACTGATCGAGTTATATTACCAACTATATATGCGAGTACACGAGGGTAACGTACTTAATTTTCTATACATATATTAAGTATATATGCTATTCAGCCCCTCCCTCTCCCTTGAGAATGGTGCGACTCAATCTTTCGATCCTTTATCGTCATCACTGAATTACACGAATCTCGATACACGTACTAACGCGTGAAAGAAACTTAAGAAACCTCTACAAAAATCTAACGATACTTATTTATTTTAAATTTGTTATTATCGTAAATAAAACATTGATTTTTTTATACTGAAGAAATTCAAGTACGATATGAGACTTATCCCTGTAAGTCACACAGGGTAATTACATTGTGAATAAATCTGTAGTGCAACCGAGTCCAAACTGAGTTTATCATGATCTTGTAAATCTCAATAGTATTATAGATTTCAGTTTCGATTAAATACGATTACTATAATTATCGCATTTTTAAGATGCCATAAACTTAAAAATCGACCAAAAGTTGATAGATTGTTTTGTAAAATGATTTTTCGATCTAATGTGCGTTTCATTTCAGGTCGTACACAGTATATTGCGTTATCTCTCTCTCTCTCTCTCTCTCTCTCTCTCTCTCTCTCTCTCTCTCTCTCTCACGCGCGCGCGCGCACGAATGCACACACCTAGGTTGTGTTTCAAAATTTACTGTTAATACTGAAAATGTATAAATGTATTACGTTACACGTGCACTATAGCTTTTCAGTATCGGCAGTAAATTTTGGAACATAGACCTATATAGACACTCATGACAAAAATTGACTTGTCGTATATCGCTTTTATGCAAGAGAATCTGCATTCACAGGTATAATCGACACCGTGTTCGGTAGGAGAGTTCCGTTTTCACTGTCCTTTTCATTTACATCGGTATGATCTATCAACAGCTTCTGCTGTCGCGCTTGCTTCTTCTCGCGTTCAATCTGAAAACGATAAAATAAGCGAAAATAACGTTAGACAAAACACTAACAATATATTTACATGAAATCACATTAAAGATCTCATTTAACTTTGTTCGCATTTCATTTCATTAATTATAAATAACAAATATCTCTTTTAAATTGCGAGTATATACGTATAATATATATATATATGTATTAATGTGACAAAATATCAGCAAACCTTAAAGAATAAACGCAGATAATGGCATGGAAACACAACGCATTGTCCTTTCTCTTCCTCGGCATCGATGTAAACGCCACGAACTAGGATAGTGTTACTACAATTGAGAAGGACGAGAAAAACGAAGCAGCCAATGTGAGTAATCCAGCAGGACAATTCCGGATTGTCCGGCAGCAGCCAGAGATCCAACGCGTTCCATATACCGCGCCAGACGTTGACAGTCCCCAGAAAGCTCAGAAAAAGAAAAACGTCCGCAACCATCAAGCGAACCAGACCCTGAAGACGCGCGCAGATATACCGCATCAACGGTTGTAGGCAAAACGTCACGACGACTATAAAATACCCGATAGCCTGGAATTCGGTAACGAGATTACAACAACGTTATTTTTTATTACATATAGATCGATATATCTTTCTCGTCTAATGATACGGAAACTCGTACTCACTATATGAATATATATATATATATATAAAGGGAGTACTAAATACTCAGTCAGCCCTACTACTACTTGTCTTCCATATTCTTTTAGAAAGACGCCAAAGCCAAAAGATGTACCGAAAAAAATAAAAAGAAAACTATAATTTTGACGAATGACGATGTTTATGCCTCGACAAAGATTACATATCGATATGATAATAAATCTTGAATACTGATATTCAACAAGTCTCCTTTTCAAATCGTATGTATTATACTTAATTTAAGCGCGCGATCGCGATGCAACAAATGTAACGAATCACGGATAACGTACATTTCATATGCGCGTACACCGACAATTGTGCCATGTGCCGCGGCAATCATGCAATTGGCGAATATTCAATTATATAATCGAATACCGGGTGTGTAGTGCCATAGCATAGCGCATGTACGTCGTATGCCTGATGCAATATAAAATTTGTAATTTTAAACGGACTTAAATTAAAAGTTAAAAAAATAAGGTTCTTTACACTTTTCTTCATGCTCACTCGTTTATTATTCGAGACTTGCAACTTTTAATCTTTTATTTTATTCAACTTTTAATTTTTATCACGTGATGTGTGTGTGTGTGTGTGTGTGTGTGTGTGTGTGTGTGTGTGTGTGTGTGTGTGTGTGTGTGTGTGTGTGTTGCCAATTTAATCCGCGGTTAATCCATGTCTAGTGATATGATGGTAAAAAACTGGTATTACATTTATCGTACGACAAAGATTTTAAGTTTATTGATTGGCTACAGGATAGAGAGAGATTCGACAATTTCTCTTTCTCGCAACCAATCAATAGGCTTGAAATAAATACTTTGTCGTACGACAAAAAACGGATGATGATATAATATTAGCCTTAAGTGCCTGCGGATTATTTCATATACTGATGATATCAGATAGTGCGTTCAAAATTTTCCTCTTACGGAGCGAAATCGAAATGTTTAAATTGTGTAATCGACGTATAACGATATATTTTTAATATGCGATGCGGCTTGTTATCAAATTTGTTATACAGACATTAAATGTCGAAACATTTATGTTACAGATGTTGTGAGATTTAATTGCAGCGATTATCTATATATTATTGTTATCTTTACTGCTGTAAATTACAATTAATGACATAAATGTAAAGAAAAAAAGAAAGAAAAAATAATAGTAATAACTAAATGTGAGAATAAATAAGAAATTGGAGTG